ACATTTTATGAAAATGGGACGACTATATCTAAAGCTGTCATAGGAACGATCGGGAAATCAATAAAAAAAAATTATTACTTCGTTGTTATACCCTTGCAGGGTATTATAATTTCAGTCAGAAGTTTGCAACGCAGTGAAGGAGACGTTTCCGACCCTATAAAGTATATGTATTCTTGATCAGCATCAACAGCCGAGTCGATCTAGCCATGTCCGTCTGTCCGTCTGTCTGTCTGTCCGTCTGTCTGTCTGTCCGTCTGTCTGTTTCTACGCAAACTAGTCCCTCAGTTTTAAAGCTATCTGAATGAAACTTTGCATATAGTCTTCTATATGCTCTCACTGCTATATTTGTCGGAACGGGCCGGATCGGACGACTATATCATATAGCTGCCATACAAATGTTCGATACATTTTTAGAAAAAAAATTATAAGTTAGCTGTTTTCCAACATATGTGCACTATTTTTTACATATGACCATTTTATATTATTTCTGAATTTTGTTAAAAATTTTATGAAAATCGGACGACTATATCATATAGCTGCCATAGGAACGAGCAGGAAATTAATAGAAAAAAAATTATAACTTCGTTGTTTTTCAAACTATTTTTATCTACTCTGAGATATAAGCTTATTTTATTAGTTCAGAATTTTGGTATAAATTTTATGAAAATCGGACAACTATATCATATAGCTGCCATATAAACCGATCGGTAGGTGTAGGGAAAATGTAAAACTGGGAATGTAAACTGTAACTGTCAAACTCTCAACATAATAAGTATAGGTAGAATGCAATGAAATAATATCTGCAAGGGTATACAAACTTCGGCGTGCCGAAGTTAGCTTCCTTTCTTGTTTTTCAATGTATTTTCACTACTTTCTACTTTGAGATATGAGCTTTTGTTATTATTTTAGAATTTTGGTATAAATATAATGAAAATCGAACAATTATATCATATAGCTGCCATTGAAGCGATCGGTAGATGTAGAGAAAATGTAAAGCTGGGAATATAAAATTGTAACTATCAAACTGTAAACATAATAAATATAGGTAAAATGTTATGAATCTCTGTTTTGTGTGTGTTTTCACCATTTAAATTTATAATATAAATATCAAAACCAAATTATTATATGCTATGTATAAATACACAACTTATGTATATATATTTCCTTTCTCTCTTTTTTTTCATTAATTTAACCTGAATATATTAATTCTTAATGATTCAATTGCAAGCTGCAAAGGTATACAAGATTCGGCGTGCCGAAGTTAGGTTAGGTTACGATTTTCCGGACGGCCTTCATGGGGCCACGCATAGGCCAATATGGCAATTAGTTATTCAGGGAAACTCCTGGATGGACCTAGAGACTATTTATGCTGGTTTCGATATCCTTGAAGATCAAGGTGTTGTTCGCAAAGGCAAGGAGTTCGCCTGGCTTTCTCCTGGAGGCCTCTTCTAGCTATGCTAGAACCGGAGAGCCTAGGTATCTCATCCTTGCCTTCGTTAGGACCGGACATTTGTAAATGAGATGCTCCAAGGTTTCGGTTGCCGCGGATTCATCACATTTCCGACATTTGGCGTTGTCGGTAATACCCAGATTGACTGCATGTGCAGCAGACAGGCAGTGACCTGTTAGAAATCCCACTAACATTCTGCAGTCTTTCCGCGGAAGATGCAGCACGTAGTGAGTGAGTTTCTCGTAGTGCTCTTTGCACATGATTTTTGATATTCTGCAGGTTGCGGAATTACTTCTCCACCTGCTTTATGCGCTTGGCTCGCTTTCGAGCGTTCTTAGGCATACAGGAACGCTTTCTGATCTTTTATTCGCCAGTCCGATGCCTTCCTTTGCAAGTTCGTCCGCGGTCTCGTTACCGTCTATGCCTTGGTGGCTGGGAACCCAGTATATCCACACTAACAGTCGTGCTCAGGCTATCTAGTGACTCCCTGCTAGCCAGTACATTTTTGGAACTGACCGCTGATGATTGCATGGATCTTATCGCCGCTTGACTGTCTACGAACAAATTGACCGCCTCATGTGAACAGTTTATGCTCTGCACAAGCTCTGCTGCTTTCCTGATGGCCAATATACTGCAGTGGCTTGGTAGCTTATCCGAGAGCCTCATTTCAGGGTCTGAACAGTATATGCCTGCTCTTACTCCTTCACCCATCTTGGAGCCGTCGGTGTATATATTGAGATATTGAGCATGGTCCTTGCCTGACTTCCAGTCATTTGGTCCCATGAATACTGTTGTGTTTACATCCGGGCACGTTCTGGGTATCATGTAGTCATGTCTCATGTCTCGACCAATTGAACTGCTCTGACCAGTTTCCTGATGCAACCAGTAGTCAGATGCGCTTGGATATCTAGAGGATATATACAGATTATCCCGTGCTTTAGTAGGAGTTGGCCTTAGCGCCCCTGATATGCAGAGCAGTGCCTGCCGCTGGGTTCTCTCCATAAGCTTATTATTCGTTTTCTTCTCCATGGTTTGCCACCACACTATAAGTACACCCGCGCGTTGGCGTCTGCACCTGCGAGCAGTTGCTGGTCCTTCGGGTTGGCTTCTACCTGGCTCATGAGTTCTTCTGGTGGGGCCGTCCTGTCGTGTGCCATGAAGCAGGAAGCTACCAAATGGAGCTTTTTTTCGCACTCTAGCATCACCACAGTCAGTTCATCAGAGCTGTAATGAGACATAAGGTATACCCTTCCGTACAAGTACGGCGGTTATTTTCCTGCTTATCGTTGGTGGATGGAGCAAATTGTAGTTTGCGGACTTTAGTCCGGCGATGGCATTGCCTGAGGCTCCTGGACCAAAGCTATGTCGACGGATCCTTGCTCCATGGCTATAAGGAGTTCCGCCTACGCCACCTTGCTCTTATGGATGTTGAGCTGCAGCACCCTGAGTGTCATGGGTACTGGGCTCACCTCCATACGACGGGTTGACTACTACGGACAGGTCACCGTCATCTCCTTCGTCAGACTCATCCAGCATTATTTCCTGGGCAGCATACATGATAGTTTCCAGACCTAGGTCCTTCTCCACCACTCCTGCCTTCAAGGTGTGAGCATCCTTATCCCCGGGATGGCGCTTCTTGAGGCGCAGGTATACGCTATCCAGGCCCCACGCCATCTTCCCGTATCTGGGATAGAGGATGTCCTCTGCTCCCTTGTTTATTTGGAGGACTGCACTTTGCCCCCCTTCTTGGGTGATGGGGCCGCAACGTGCAGAACCTTCCAGTCCGCGGTTGGTATATCCGGTATCTGACGCTGCAGCAGCTTCAGCACCCGGTCCGCTTGAATTGCGATGGGGAAGAGTACATTCGCTTTTGGAGTGGATGGGATTAGCTCCCGGTCCACCACCTCTAGCTTGGCTCCCTCCCACAGCGCCTCCAACTGGCAGACCGCTTGCGTCAGCCATTTTCTCGTCGGGTCATCCATGCACTTCAGGATTTTGACCCCATTTAGCCGCCCAGCACCATCAAAGGTGGGCATGGGAGCTTCGGGATCTTCCTCCATCCGTGCATACAATGACTCAACGAGCCGCGCATGCACCATCTTCACCGCGCCTTGGCATTTTGCGGCTTCATCGCTTCTGTCAATGAGGGCCACAATCAAATGTCGTTTGGTCACCTCACTGACTTTTGCGTTTTTTTTTGGGCTTTTTCGCTATTAGGCCCGTGTTGCCGCTCTCGGCTGAGCGTTGCCTTTTGTTGGCAATCGTCTCCTCCACCTTCTTGGCGAATCCGCCCGTCGAGTCATGTGGGGGAGTTTTGAGAAGTGAAGCCTACCCTCAGCGATCCTCTCCTCTCCCATATAAAGTTTACCTTCTCCTCTGGGGATAGGGCGGCTTTTTTCTGGAGCCGATTCTGGATGCGGAGGGCAGCCTTGTACCGCGCCTTGGCCTTCATTCCCTCGCTTGACCGCTTTGGACCGTCGCTGCGCTGGAAGCTGGTGCCTGGTTTCGGCGAGTGCAGAAGGCGCTCGTCCTTCTCTTTGGAGAGCTGCACGCAAAGAGGATTGCTATTATTATGACAGCTGGTGCTTATTCATTGAGTCTTTTCACTAAAACTTTCAGGCTATTCCCGTCTCACACACCTTTTGATAAGACGAGCTAGGGCTTATTTTTCCGACGGGACTACTAATTGTATCATGAGTCCTACTACAGTTTATGGGCATCGACTTGGTCGCATTTTGTGATAAATTAGAGATTAGATTTTCAGTTATCGTTTTTTTTTTCTAAAAAGTAAATAATTTATAAGCGATCAAAATCAAAAACGGAAATAATTTAAATGATATGTATATATAGTATGGATATTACAACTGGAAAACAACAAATGAATATTTGTTTATTAATATGCTCTTTTTGGTGCTATTTAGCTTTTATATGACATGGGAAATATTACAATCTCGTTTAAATCGATTTTGAAAATGTATATCGATTGGAGATCGGCACCGGTGCCTGATTTGAGCACTACATGCTTACTCGCCTAAAGTGCGGTGGCAGTGCTACTAACGCCGCTTAATATGTGGTTGCGGTGTTTTAGCACCACATTGCTTGTGAGTAAGGCAAAGACAATGCCTAAAAATATGCGATAAAAAAAGACAAACTCAAAAATGTACAGAGTCTCTCTTAGTTTATTAGTTCTGTTTTTCTTACACCCAAACTCGACCAAAGTAAATATTTTTTTAAAGGATGAGAATATGCTAGAAAAGAATTTGAAATTTACAATTAGCACGTTGCTTTTACATATTTGTACAAATTACTCAGTATATACGGTGCCGCTCACATGAGTAAAAAATCTACCAAGCATTAGGTGCTGCTTATTTTTGGCACCACATAGAAAAAGCGCATAAAAAACACCGCATAATTTTTTAATACGGTGCTTAGAGGCACGAGCATAAAAAATTCGTTGTGTGAATGTAGATACTCGTTTTTATTTCCAGCTCTACTAGAAATACTTTCGCGTCCAGTTTTATCGATAACTTCGATAACGAAATACTGAAAAACATAAAACGGTTTTAAGTGTTATATTTATATCTTAAATTTAACAAGCTTGCATCGAAGGCCAGTCTTGAAGCCCATATTATTACTTTTTTGATCTTAACAAATTTTTTTAAAATAAGAAAATTCGATTTTGCTTAGTCTCTTGGGCTCTTTTTTCTTTTCATGTGCACCTGTTTGGCTTCTCCAGCACAATAAAAGGAAATAAATAAGTCAAACATTCGCTGTACTCACAATGTTATTAATATCAAAGAGTTTGCTTCTATTTCGGTTAATTTACTGTGCTTCAAGTATCCCCCCCGTTATCAGAGTAGGTAATATTTATGCATCTGATTAACCAGTATAGCCATTAATCTTTAAATATATTTTTAAGGAGCAATATTTCCTAAGCAACCAGTCAAATATAATTCTGAGTTGGCATTTCGGTACGCGATTCATAGATTAAATGATGACAAAAGTCTATTACCAGAAACAATCGTTGACTACGAAGTGGAATATGTAAGCCACCTTGACTCGTTTGAGACTGTTCGAAAAGGTATGTATGTATCTACACATATATTTAAGTAAAAATATATTTTCAAATATATACAAAAAATATTTTTAATAATTAGTGTGCAATTTGCTACGAGTTGGTGTCCAAGCTGTTTTTAGTCCAACTGATTCCGTTTTGGCAGCGCATATACATTCGATATGCGATGCTTTGGATATTCCCAATATAGGTCGTAGCGCCCATGATTTTTCCATTAATGTTTATCCATCTAAGAAATATGTGAATCAGGCCTTCATTGATGTCATACGCTACCTAAACTGGACACGATTTGGCATCTTACATGAAAGAGAATATGGTGAGTTGTGCAGCCTAAATTCCTCCGGTTTCACCTTTGCGAATGTATTGAGCTATAAAATATGTATGTACATATTGGTAACTCTCCAGAAACAGCAACTGGGGCCACTATAGTAAGACTCCTTTAAAGTCCTTGTTTTCAATATATTCATATAAATAAGTGTTTCAATTGATCAATATTGACAGAATCTAGTATATTCTAAAACATAATTCGAAATAATTAAATAAAAATTCGAGGAAACGCAATTTTTATTACTTTGATGAAAAAATGCCGTTTTGGTTTGACTCGAAGAATGCAAGAGTAGAAAAAAGCTTGTATATATTTCTAATTTACCTAAAAAGTAAAAAGCAATATAAAAAGTACAGTGGAAAAAAACGAAATACATTATGAAAATTAATCTATGCATAATACATTAAAATTGATTGCATTAAAATCTTTTATTTTTAAAAAAAGGAAATTATTTACGATCGCGTGCGAATGGCTTACATTTTTGTGCAATTGTCCAAAATCGATCTTAGCACCAATTATAGTGCTAACCAAGAGCTAAAAGTTTTAAATTTGGTAAAATTAAAATCAATTCTTGACATACAGAGAGTATGTTTCCTGGGTTAAATTTTTTTTTTGTGTATGTGATGTATATATCGGCTAACTGTTGCGATTCATTGCCGATATTTTCAGTAATACAGTCGTCAAAGTAATACCCAGAATGACAAAAAAATAATAATAATTCTGGTCTTCCCATTTAGAGCATTTGCAAGCAAAAGTTGATATTTTTCGCAGATGTGAAACTCGGGATTCCACAGAGCTCCATCTGCATCCTATATCCGCGATTACAGCTGATCGATCAGTAATGCCACATCTGTACCATAAAGAAAGATGGACGAAACGACTGTTGTAAAAATAAAATTAACAGTTTATGCACTATTTGAGCTGTTGAACAACAGAAAAACTATAGATTGCGTCGGTATAAAATTAAAACAAGAAAGGAAGCTAACTTCGGCACGCCGAAGTTTCTATACGCTTGCAGATTGGTTTTCATATTTATATCATAAATTATAATGCCGAAAACAGACACTAAATAGAGTTTCATAACGTTTTACCTATACTTATTATGTTTACAGTTTGACAGTTACAGTTATACATTCCCAGCTTCACATTTTCTCTACATCTACGGATCGTTCCTATGGCAGCCTATAAGATATAGTCGTCCGATTTTCATAAAATTTATACCAAAATTCTGAAATAATACCAGAAGCTCATGTACCAAAGTAGATTAAAATACGTTAAAAAACAACGAAGTTATATTTTTTTTCGATTAACTTCCCGATCGTTCCTACGGCAGGTATAAGATATAGTGGTCCGATTTTCATAAAATTTTAAACAAAATTCTGAAATTATATAAAATGGCTATATCTCAAAAATGATGGAATAATATTGTAAAACAGCGAAGTTATAATTTTTTTCTAAAAATTAATCGAACATTTGTATGGCAGCTATATGATATAGTCGTCCGATCCGGCCCGTTCCGACATATATAGCAGTGAGAGTATATAGAAGACTATATGCAAAGTTTAATTCAGATAGCTTTAAAACTGAGGGACTAGTTTGCGTAGGAACGGACAGACAGACGGACAGACGAACATGGCTAGATCGACTCGGCTGTTGATGCTGATCAACTGCGTTGCAAACTTCTGACTGAAATTATAATACCCTGCAAGGGTATAAATATACATTAATAACTTTATAGGAGCGCCAAAATGGTTGTTTATAAATAATGCTATTTAATTTGATTACCTAAATGGTCCAAATTAACCAAATAATTATGTGAGTCCACCGGAATTAAAACTGTGAAAAGTGTGGCAGCATCTTAGGTGCCTATTTGCTTAAGGGGTCTTCTCATTGGGCAACTTTTTTTTTTCGATTTTTTTTTTTTTGCATTTATTTATAGCAAGGGATGGTGTGTATATGTCCCCAAAAGGATTTTTCGAAATACTTTAGAAGATACAGCCTTTTTTGTGAAGCAAGTTCTTCGCAAAATGAGCTTTTTTCAAACTTCAAACGCGTTTATCTCGAAACCACGTTTTTCGAACTGGCGGCCATGATATCTCCAGTTCAACTAAACCGATTTTTATGAAACAAAATGGAATCGACGCAGAATTGTCACCATTCTCGGGTGACGGAACAGATGTTTTTAAAAATTTTTTTTTCTATTTTTTTTTTACACTAAACTACAAAAAAAAAGCCCGAAATCGAAATTTTTTTTTGAATGGCCGCCATTTTGTTTAAAAAAATTTAAAAAAAAAATCTGTTCCGTCACCCGAAAATGACATCAATTCTGATTATAACCCCGTTTTTATTTTTCATTTCGGACGCTCTGGAGACCCTGAATCGTGGCCGCCAGGACGACACCTTTTTTTTCGACCACCAAGTTTGAAGTCTCATTACTCTTTGAACAACCCTCGTATCGAGGCAAGAACAACTTTTTTAGTTACTTTGAACATTTTTTAATACAATAAATAAAAAAAGTTTTCAATTATTCTTTGCGTTTTCAAATAAGAATTTTTTTAAAAAGGGTCCAAAAAACGGCTTTTGAATAAGAAGACCCCCTTAACTCTACAATTTTTTGCCTTTTTCTGGCTTAGAAAAAGGGCAATTGTAAATAAAAAAGGTAGTACTTTATGTTGTTTGCTTATTACCAAAAACACGAGTCAGATGCTTGAGCAGTAAGAAACGATGAGAAAACGAAACATTCCGATAGCTGAAATTTTCCGAAAACCGGAGCAGCTAAAAACAACAGAGGTTCATTTTTGCCCAAAACCGGAGCAGGCCTGTATATCTTAAAGCTGCCATAGGAACGATCGGGAAATTAATAAAAAAAAAATTATAACTTCGTTGTTTTTCAACGTATTTTCATATTTGGGACACGAGCTTTTGGTATTATTTCAGAATTTTGGAAAACAATATTATGCAAATCGGACAACTATATCATATAGCTGCCATAGAAGCGATCCGTAGATGTAGATAAAATGTAAAGCTGGGAATGTATAACTGTAACTGTCAAACTGTAAACATAATAAGTATAGGTAAAATGTAATGAAACTCTTTTTATACCCTTGCAGGGTATTATAATTTCAGTCAGAAGTTTGCAACGCAGTGAAGGAGACGTTTCCGACCCTATAAAGTATATATATTCTTGATCAGCATCAACAGCCGAGTCGATATAGCCATGTCCGTCTGTCCGTCTGTCCGTCCGTCTGTCCGTTTCTACGCAAACTAGTCCCTCAGTTTTTAAGCTATCTGAATGAAACTTTGCATATAGCCTTCTATATACTCTCACTGCTATATATGTCGGAACGGGCCGGATCGGACGACTATATCATATAGCTGCCATACAAATGTTCGATAAATTTTTATAAAAAACATTATAACTTTGCTGTTTTTTTACATTTTTGCACCATTTTTTAGATATGGCCATTTTATATTGGTCTAGAATTTTGGTAAAAATTTTATGAAAATCGGACGACTATATCTTATAGCTGCCATAGAAACGATCGGGAAATTAATAGGAAACAAATTATAACTTTGTTGTTTTTCAACGTATTTTCATCTACTCTGATATATAAGCTTATTTTATTATTCTAGAATTTTGGTATAAATTTCATGAAAATCGGACAACTATATCATATAGCTGCCATAGGAGCGATCGGTAGATGTAGAGAAAATGTAAAGGTGTGAATGTAAAACTGTAACTGTCAAACTGTAAACATAATAAGTATAGGTAAAATGTAATGAAATAATATCTGCAAGGGTATACAAACTTCGGCGTGTTAGCCGAAGTTAGCTTCCTTTCTTGTTTGTGTGTGTTTTCAGCATTTTAATTTATAAAATAAATATCAAAACCAATCTGCAAACAAACTTCGGCGAGCCGAAGATAGCTTCCTTTCTTGTTTGTATATATATGTATCTCCTGTTAATTTTCCTCTTTATTTGAAATAAATGGGAATCGATTCTTAGTGATCCAATTACAAACTTCGGGGAGCAGAATAAGCCAATTAATCCTGAAATCCTGACGCAACCTGAGGTCTTTCTGTTGAACAACTGAAATAGTTGATAAACTAGTGATTTTACTTCCCCAGAAGCCACTTAGTCATCTTTGTTTATGTTTTGGATGAGCTGTCAAGAAGAAGAAATAGAGTTGCACCGAAAAACTATTTTCTAACTATCGCTAAAAGTGCATTAAATGTAGATGAATAACAGATGGAGAACAAAATTTAAAATTTCCGAACGAGAAAACGTTATGACCCATCTGTTCAACGGATGGAGGAAGTCATATGGATCTCTTTGGAAGACCCTATTACAGATAACAGATATTACACACAATATATATTTCAGGAATTATAGATTTACATCAAATCGCGCGCTCTGTTCAAGCGGAAGTCCACATGCGACAAGTATCTCGAGGCTCATACCTTTCTGTATTGAACGATTTTAAGAACAAAGAAATACATAATGTTATAATTGATACAAGCTCTGATGGCATATCAATTTTATTAAAAAACGTGAGCTAGAATATATATTCTTATACTCTTGCAGGCTATTATAATTTTAATCAGAAGTTTGCAACGCAATGAAGGAGACATTTCCGATCGCATAAGGTATATATATTCTTGATCAGATTAAGCCGCAGAGATTTGTGTCCGTTCATCTGTTCGTTTCTACGCAAACTGGTCCCTCCGTTTTAGAGTTATTTAAGTGAATATTTTGCAGATATTTTGACTACTCTCAAGTATATATGTAGGTCGGACCAAAAATTATAACTTCGCTGTTTTCAGAACTTCGGTTATCATTTTATGAAAATCGGACTACTATGTCATATAGCTGACACATGGACGATCAGTAGATATAAACTGTAAATATAATTTGTACAGATAAATGTTTAGAAAGTTATTACTTTGTTTTAGTTCAGCATATATATTTATAATTTATATATATTAGATATTTAAAATCCAAATTATAGTTATTTTATACAATTTAAAAATATTTTTAAATTTTGATCAAAAACCATTTGTTATATGCCATTTTATAAATATGTATATATATTTTGCATAACTCCTGTTAGTTTTTCTTTTCATTCAATCGATTTCTAATTATTACATTGCAAACTGCAAGGGTATAAAAGCTTCGGCATGTCGAAGTTTGCCTCCTTTCTTGTTTTAATTTACATTATATATATATATATCTATATATTTTATTTCCTATCTTTTTTCTATAAATATATTTTTTTAGATATTACAACAACAAATGAATGAATATAAATACCATTATTTTTTTACCAGTTTCGATCTGGAAACCTATGATATGGAAGACTTTAAATATAATTTTGTGAATATAACATCATTTCGTTTGGTGGACATAGGTGATGTGGCTGTTAAACAAATTTTAAAAGACATTAAGAACTACGGCCATCATATATACCAATCGCCAGATTTCAGCCAACATTCAAGAAAATCCTTTTCCTTCGAGGTAAAATAAAACTTATAACAACTAAAATAATAATAATATTAAAAATACAATTGTATAATTTTTAGTCCGAACCAGCTTTAATGTACGATTCCGTTTTCGTATTTGCTATGGGTTTGCAGACATTGGAACAATCACATATTTTGGATATATATAATGTGACCTGCGATGAGGAAATACCATGGAACGGTGGCTTGAGCCTTATTAATTACTTAAATGCGGTACTACTATATTGAGTTGATTTCTTTGATATAAATCTTAAAATGAGTACCTTCTCAAACAGGTTGAATGGAAAGGTCTGACAGGACCCATTCAGTTTAAAGAAGGACAGCGAATTCAGTTCAAATTAGACTTGATAAAATTAAAGCAACACTCGATAGTTAAAGTTGGCGAATGGACGCCCCATGGACACCTCAATATAACCGATCCATCAATGTTTTTTGATTCCGGCTCCATGAATGTAACACTTGTTGTCATAACTATATTGGTTAGTTTATTTTATAAACAATACTGGACAATATTCCATTTCTTAAATATTTTTAATGAATATCCAACATCCAAACGAATCACTGCATCATATTTTTTGGGTGTCATAAAAATGATCAAAAATTTTAATTATGACCTTGTTCTTGTACAAAACATTTCCATAGAGTCCAAGATATGGCAACTTTTAATAATTTCTGAATTACCATTTTTTTCTACAATGTTCTTTAAAAGCTAAGATATTAAAAAAAATTCCGTCTACATTTCCGTCGACGCTTTAATTTTTATACCCTTGCAGGGTATTATAATTTCAGTCAGAAGTTTGCAACGCAGTGAAGGAGACGTTTCCGACCCTATAAAGTATATATATTCTTGATCAGCATCAACAGCCGAGTCGATCTAGCCATGTCCGTCTGTCCGTCTGTCTGTCTGTCCGTCTGTCTGTTCCTACGCAAACTAGTCCCTCAGTTTTAAACCTATCTGAATGAAACTTTGCATATAGTCTTCTATATACTCTCACTGCTATATATGTCGGAACGGTCCGAATCGGACGACTATATCATATAGCTGCCATACAAATGTTCGATATATTTGTAGAAAAAAAATTATAACTTTGCTGTTTTTCAACATTTTTGCACCATTTTTTAGATATGGCCATTTTTTATTATTTCAGAATTTTGGTAAAAATTTTATGAAAATCGGACGACTATATGATATAGCTTCCATAGGAACAGTCGGGAAATTAATAGGAAAAAAATTATAGCTTCGTTGTTTTTCAACGTATTTTTATCTACTCTGAGATATAAGCTTTTTTTATTATTCTAGAATTTTGGTATAAATTTCATAAAAATCGGGCAACTATATCATATAGCTGCCATATAAACCGATCGGTAAATGTATAAAATATGTAAAGCTGGGAATGTAAAACTGTAACTGTTAAACTGTAAACATAATAGGTATAGGTAAAATGTAATGAAACTCTGTTTTGTGAGTGTTTTCATCATTTAAATCTATAATATAAACATCAAAACCAATCTGCAAGGGTATACAAACTTCGGCGTGCCGAAGTTAGCTTCCTTTCTTGTTTTTTCAATTATTTTCAGATAATCCAGGTTATACTTATTATTTCCGATTTTAAAATAATATTTCTAATTTTATTAACATTAGATGACCAGTAAGTTACTGGCAGTAAACATATAGAAAAGGCATACAAATTAATGTAAAATGAATAGGTAAATGTTATTTAATGGTTTTTAATCATAAATGTAAATATATATAAAAATAATTACGGTTTTTTAAGTAAGTATATGCATAGCCCTGTAACAATATGCTTTTAATTTTTATCAAAGTGGAATACTATATCACATCACTACCAATGGATCGATAGGCCAATTTAGATTTGTATTTTGTATTTTTTATCATTTAACCAAAATGAATACATTTTAAGTGTCCACATGGGTAGCTGGAAGGGTACCAAAATTTAAGCGTCCTGAAGTTAGTATCCTTTCTTGCTTCTTGTTTATTCATTCATTTATTTATTTTTTTTAACAGGAAACGCCGTATGTAATGATGCATTATGGAAAAAATTTTACGGGCAACGAAAGATTCTATGGATTCTGCGTAGATATTTTGGAAACAATTTCACATGAGGTCGGTTTTGGATATATTTTAGATTTGGTTCCCGATCGCAAATACGGAGCCAAAGATCCAGAGTCTGGTGAATGGAATGGAATGGTTGCACAGTTAATGCAATACGTATGTTGATTAGGAAATATACATATCAAATTATATATTATATTCTATTATTAGCATTAACCAATATTTATTTATAGAAAGCGGACTTGGCTGTGGGCTCAATGACTATTACCTATGCGAGAGAGAGTGTTATTGATTTCACTAAACCTTTTATGAATCTGGGAATAAGCATATTATTTAAGGTTCAAACACATATTTGCTAAGAATTCTTTAAATTATTTCGATTCTCTTCTTTGTTTAGGTTCCTACTTCAGAGCCAACCCGATTATTTTCATTTATGAATCCTTTGGCTATAGAAATTTGGATTTATGTACTGATGGCATATTTCCTCGTGTCCATTTGTATATATTTGGTCGGGAAGTTATCACCCATCGAGTGGAAATACATAAATCCCTGCGATTTAAATAACATTACGATCGGTAATCAGTTTACATTGTCGGATAGTTTCTGGTTTACAATTGGAACGTTAATGCAGCAGTCACCCGATATATATCCGAGAGCGATCTCGACACGTATAATTAGTAGTATTTGGGGATTCTTCTCGTTAATTATTGTAGCCTCATATACCGCCAATTTGGCGGCATTTTTAACCACTGAACGCATGATTAATCCCATAGAAAACGCCGAGGATCTGGCCAGTCAAACAGAGATATCATATGGAACTTTGGATAGTGGCTCTACGATGACGTTCTTTCGGGTAAGCTTGACATTAAAATACATTTATATTTTTATTATTTATTTTAGTTTTTCTTTCTGATTTTGTACTATTTCTTAAATGAACAAAGGACTCCATGATTGAGACATATAAAAAAATGTGGCGGAGCATGGACAACAAAAAGCCATCGGCATTTACGACTACATATGAAGACGGAATTCGCAGGGTTAACCAGGGCAATTACGCCTATCTGATGGAATCCACAATGCTTGATTATATCGTTCAGCGAGATTGTAATTTGACACAAATTGGGGGTTTGCTAGATACCAAAGGTACGAGCCTAATACAATATCGAAAATATCCTAAGCTTTGATAAGTTGAAACTAAAAAAGAATGAAAACTAACATCGGCATGCCAAAGTTTGTATATACACTCTTGCAATTGGATATTTAAGAATTAATTCACTTTAATCAAATGAAAAGAAAAATATACATCACAGTTATAGTTTTACGTTTACAGTTCGTCATTATACCCTTGCAGGGTATTATAATTTCAGTCAGAAGTTTGCAACGCAGTGAAGGAGACGTTTCCGACCCTATAAAGTATATATATTCTTGATCAGCATCAACAGCCGAGTCGATCTAGCCATGTCCGTCCGTCCGTCTGTCCGTTTCTACGCAAACTAGTCCCTCAGTTTTAAGGCTATCTGAATGAAACTTTGCATATAGTCTTCTATATACTCTAACTGCTATATATGTCGGAACGGGCCGGATCGGACGACTATATCATATAGCTGCCATATAAATGTTCGATACATTTTTTGAAAAAAAGTTATAACTTTGCTGTTTTTTAACATTTTTGCACCATAGAAATGGCCATTTTATATTATTTCAGAATTTCGATAAAGATTTTATGAAAATCGGACGATTTGCGTATTTTACGCAAAAATAATTTTGAGTCAATTGAATTTCCAGCAAGAAGGGTTAATAAAGGTTCTGGCGGAGCAGGTAGAGAGCACGACTTTTCCTGATGCGCAGCACATACCGGCAGTTTCATTCCGAAATTTAAACGCCTGACAATATTGACATACTTTGTCCTTTCCACCCATAGCAATTTTTGAATGCGCAGAGTAGTTAATATCTGGTGCATATTCAAAAGCAAGACGAACGAATGATGTACGAAATAATGAGCGACTGTTCCGCTGCCTTTGTCGTACTTGTGCTCGTACTATACATATCTATGTTTCTATCTCGAGCCGCCCTGATTCTCGTAATATTCTGCTGCAGACGTTCGCTACGCTGTTCCTGGGATTCTTGTGCACGACCTTCTGCTGTCCTAATTCTTTGAGCTCTATTTCTTGTATTGACTTGTTCTGGCAACTGATGAGCTCTTTCGAAACGTCTGCGTCGTGCCACTCTGCTGCTTACGTTGTTGAGATTCGATCTTTTCGGTGGCATTTTGCTGAAAATATTATCTTACCTTCTTAATGTATTTCAAATGATAATTTAGAGACTCACCACTTATAAACACAAAACAATAATTATGAATGACAAATGACAATAAAAGAAAAGACATTCTGACGAAATGCGATTTATTGAAATAATATATTACAAAATATGTAATACGTGAAGAACCGCTCAACCAATTTGGTGCAAACTCATCAACAAAATAGCCCGAGCAAAGCATAAAGATTTGGTTAAATAAGCACACTAAATTCCATAAGAATCGGTAAAGCCGTTTCGGAGGAGTGCATAAAAAAAGAAGATTCCTCCTTGTTCTGCCGAAACTGCCATGATGTAAAAGATCTTAGCTATCCTATCTCTCAAGTTGAACCAAACTGCATAAGCACACTAAATTTCATGAGAATCGGTAAAAACGTTTCGGAGGAGTGCATAAAAAAATAAGATTCCTCCTTGTCCTGCCGAAACTGCCATGATGTAAAAGATCTTAGCTATCCTATCTCTCAAGTTGAACCAAACTGCATAAGCACACTAAATTTCATGACAATCGGTAAAGCCGTTTCGGAGGAGTGCATAAAAAAAGAAGATTCCTCCTTGTTCTGCCGAAACTGCCATGATGTAAAAGATCTTAGCTATCCTATCTCTCAAGTTGAACCAAACTGCATAAGCACACTAAATTTCATGAGAATCGGTAAAAACGTTTCGGAGGAGTGCATAAAAAAATAAGATTCCTCCTTGTCCTGCCGAAACTGCCATGATGTAAAAGATCTTAGCTATCCTATCTCTCAAGTTGAACCAAACTGCATAAGCACACTAAATTTCATGAGAAACGGTAAAACCGTTTCGGAGGAGTGCATAAAAAAATAAGATTCCTCCTTTTCCTGCCCAAACTGCCAAGATGTAAAAGATCTTAGCTATCCTATCTCTCAAGTTGAACCAAACTGCATATTGCCTGCAAATTTGATAGAAATCTGTTAAGCGGTTTAGGAGTCCATAGCGAACAAACATAGTGACAGGAGATTTTTATATATTAAGATATATTTTGTTGCTTTTTTAATTGCTTGTGATATTTTAAGGATATGGAATTGCTACACCAAAAGGATCGCCCTGGCGAGATAAGATTTCGTTAGCCATACTGGAGCTTCAGGAAAAAGGCGAGATTCAAATGCTGTACGATAAATGGTGGAAGAACACAGATGAGACTTGTACCAGGAAGAGCCCAAGCAAACAATCAAAAGCCAATGCCCTGGGACTCGAGAGCATAGGTACAAATTTATGATTATTTTTATGCGATTTATAAGAACATCTTTATTTAAATCAGGTGGCGTGTTTGTCGTGCTATTTGCTGGCATTATTGTTGCCGTCGCTGTTGCTCTTTTTGAGTTTTGGTTTAATTTTCGATATAACTACAAAGCGAAGCCTTTATCTTTTTCTAACTCGTTGCCGCCGGATGCTAGAATCGTTTTAGAAACTAATGAAAGAACATATTTACAACCGAAACGCTGCTTCTGGATAGAGATATTTGAAGAGCTACGTTATGCATCGTGGTGTCTGAACAAGCCTAAAAGACCAGAGCTAAATAGAGTGTGTAGTAAATGTAAGATAACGTCAAAGCCAATTATATAGCGCTTTATTTACGATGCATGTGTGTTAATTGTGTAACTATCTTTTTGATTGATTTGTTGGTAACCCTGGAATAAATGTGTGTCCTCCACCAATTAAACACTTAAAGGAAACGGTCCAAAGTCCCACAAGCATACTCCCGGTGAAAGTAGATTAATCGATTTTGCAAAGACTCATTTAATTTCGCGTAAGATTGACAATGCGTCCTGCAGTAGTTAAACACTAGAATTCATTAGGGGTGGGGGGGGGTAAGGTATTTAATTTTTTTTTCGCAAATTTTTTTTTATTTTTTATTTTGAAAGTTAAACATGTTAAGAATATTATGTCGAAGTTTTACATCGATTATAGTAAAATTGACGAAGTTATGCGGAGTTGAACGAAGGTCGGTTGGTGTTCAATGCATGAGAATCACAAAGTTTAAAGCGCTCTCCTGAAAAATGCCATTTTGAAAATCGGTGTACACGATAACTCAAAATCTACTGAACCAATCGGTTTGAAATTTGGAACATAATTTCTTTAGATAATTCTACAGATATTCACGTCGAGCTTTTTTTAATTTTTCATTTTCTTATATTTTTTATTTAACAAATTAACTTAATTATTTAGTCAAAAATCGTGGTTTTGACTTCAAATTTTGATATGAAATAAGGAAAAAAATTTTAAAATAAAAACGCTTCGTGAATACCTTGGGACACTTATCCTTTAACGAATGAGGTATAATTTTTGTAGATCGGATGATTCTGTGGACAGTTAGGATGTACACCGCAAACCAACTTTTTTTGGAGGCGACTCGGGCGATTCCCTATAACTCCTCTACCTGTAAATATTTTTCAATACAAAATTTATCACAAACTGTTCAAATGTTGTGTTATTATATGGTATTTAATTCGTTAAGCTAGCTTTAGCCGTTTCGCCACAACATTTTATTGAAAAGTGGGCATTTTTGCACCGAATTAACCGACTTTTGACCATACCAAACCTTAACCTTTTTATACCCCTGTTTCTTTATAATAGTAAATTGTTTTTATGTTTATTATGAAGTTGCAAGTTTTAGTTCCTGCTTTTTACTTTCAGAGCTTTCGTTTCGTTCCTTTCTCTGTCGTCTCTTTCTGCTGATTGACTTTTCTCCACTCGCCTACTACTTTTTTTCTGTGTCCCTTGTCACCCTCTCTGCTGTTAGCCTGCCGTGTTCCACTACCATTTTTTACATAAATGTAAAGAAGAAATAATTATACACCTACAAAAATAAATATGATGAGGAAATTAGGGTTAGGTTTTTATGAAATTTTAGGGAAATTTAGGAAACGGAAATATCATTATCAACGATAGGGGCAGAATTATAAATATTATAAATAAATAAAGCTAGGATGCGTTATCTTAAAAAAAGATAAATACAAAAGGCTGTGACCATTTGTGATGGGCTAGGTGCAATAAAATTAGTGTGCAATAAAAACACTGACTCTTACATACTTAAAGCTATATAGGATAAAAATGAGGACTCAGAAGTAGATATGATATATGGTGTTCAGGGCTTAAAGGGATAGAGATAAATGAAAAAACTGACGTGCTAGCGAAGGAAGGTGCACACAAAGGAATTTGTGCAAGGATTCATTTTAAGTGTTAAAGAGGCCTTAAGAAAATCAAAAAACAAATAAATAACAATAATAATAATTGCAAGAAACCGGGAAAAATAAAATCGCACTGCGAGAGAATTTTGTCATCTCGACCTATTGTACACTTTTTATACCCTTACAGGGTATTATAATTTCAGTCAGAAGTTTGCAACGCAGTGAAGGAGACCTTTCCGACCTTATAAAGTATATATATTCTTAATCAGCATCAACAGCCGAGTCGATTATGCTTTAACTGTTGTTTACTTACATCACAAGAAGAATGCAAAAAGTCGAAATAAAATGAATATATGCTCTTCTAATTTACTTAAATAGTAAAAAATTATATGCAAAGTATGATGATAAAAACTGTCGCGCGCGACCTGTCGCGTGCGAAAACTTATTAAAATTAAATAAAAAACAAGAAAGGAAGCTAACTTCGGCACGCCGAAGTTTGTATACCCTTTCAGATTGGTTTTGATGTTTAAATTATAGATTTAAATGCTGAAAACACTCACAAAAAAGAGTTTCATTACATTTTACCTATACTTATTATGTTTACAGTTTGACAGTTACAGTTTTACATTCCCAGCTTTATATATTTTATACATTTACCGATCGCTTCTATGCAGCTATAAGATATAGTTGTCCGATTTTTGTGAAATTTATACCAAAATTCTAAAACAATAAAAAAAACTTATATCTCACAGTAAATAAAAAATTCGTTGAAAAATAACGAAGCTATAATTTTATTTCTATTATTTTCCCGATCGTTCCTATGGCAGCTATATCATATAGTCGTTCGATATTCATACAATTTTTACCAAAATTCTGAAATAATATAAAATGGCCATATCTAAAAAAATATGCAAAAATGTTTGAAAACAGCAAAGTTATAATTATTTTTCTAAAAATTTATCGAACATTTGTATGGCAGGACTGAGGGACTAGTTTGCGTAGAAACAGACAGACAGACGGACAGACGGACATGGCTAGATCGACTCGGCTGTTGATGCTGATCAAGAATATATATACTTTATAGGGTCGGAAACGTCTCCTTCACTGCGTTGCAAACTTCTGATTGAAATTATAATACCCTGCAAGGGTATAATAAACTACGCTAAATTTCTGATTGTAAATAAAAGCATATGAAAATGACATTATCGCATAACATTTTACAATTTGTTTCATTAAAATATTCCCAGCTGTTTCGCTAAAATCAGTGTTTAAACAGCTCGCCGCGTAAAGTGACTTCTGTTTTTGTCGCGTGCGAACCCTTCAATTTTATTTTTTAATTTCTTAAATTTGAGCATACACTCAAAACCAACACTAACACCAATTATAGCCCTAGGCAAGAGCTATAAGTTAATATTTTTAAAAGATATAAAAATAAAATGTACCATACTTTTTTTTTGCTTTGAATGCGTACGAATGTCGCGTGCGACACCATGGACATGTCCATATGTCGGAACGGGCCGGATCGGACGACTATATCATATAGCTGCCACTTTGCTGTTTTTTACCATTTTTGCACCATAGATATGGCCAATTTATATTATTTCAGAATTTCGATAAAAATTACATGAAAATCGGACGACTATATCTTATAGCTGTCATAGGAACGATCAGGAAATTAATAGGAAAAAAATTATAACTTCGTTGTTTTTCTACATATTTTTATCTACTCTGAGATATAAGCTTATTTTATTATTCTAGAATTTTGGTATAAATTTCATAAAAATCGGACAATTATATCATATAGCTGCCATAGAAATGATCGGTAGATGTAGAGAAAATGTAAAGGTGTGAATGTAAAACTGTAACTGTCAAACTGTAAACATAATAAGTATAGGTAAAATGTAATGAAATAATATCTGCAAGGGTATACAAACTTCGGCGTGCCGAATTTAGCTTTCTTTCTTGTTATATACAATTTTTATCTGTGTAGTGGACAAACTGATCAAGCGAGCGCAGTCGGCAAGCGTTTGGCCTATATTTTCTGTAAATAATTATTGATTTGCATATACATTAACAAGTAAGAGATTTTTATTTTAAATATGCGATTCTGTCATTAAGCAGAGTCCTCCGCCATCTCATTACCGCATGCTTTTTTTTTCTCTTCTACCAGTTCTTCTAATTGGTCTTTTTTTATAAGCCAGTCTCAGAAAGGGAAGTCTGTCTAAGACATTCTCCGTCCACTCCCTTAGAAGTGCCCAAAGGGCAGCTCTCCACAAAACAAATTTAATTTTTATTATCAACAGTCAGTTGCTTAGTTTTGTGACGCGCAAACGCGCACAAATTTATACGTAAGATATAGAATTAGGATGATACTATATTATAGAAAAGAAAATTATGAAGACTTGAATTTGAATTAAAAACGCGCGCACACTTAACCTCGCCAGGGCCCTATATAAGACGAGCCCCAGCCCTGTGGAGCTCATTTAGTTTCGGCCGGCGATCGGCCAAGTACTCCGGATGAGCAGCGGTAAGGAACCAACCAAGGAGTCATCACCTGGATCGGATAGGAGGTTAAATAAGGTATTTCAGTAAAGTTGTGTAATAGTCGGACCCCGACCTTGTCCTACGTCTCTATATTCCCAGCAGACAAAAACTTCGTAAAAAATATTAAAAACTGAAGTTTTGCGGACCGCAGGCGGACAAAACGTCCGATTTTAGACTCAAGAACGATAACAAAGTAAATTACATGTCTTGGGGTTTGTGGCAGCAAAACCTCTCATTTTCGGAGCACGAACTAATAGCGCTTGCGGACGCTGTTGCGAGACCGGAAAAAGAACCGATAGCACCCCCTTTACGATACCCGAAAGAGTACCGTTAGTGAACCTGTGGCGATACTCAAAAAAGTACTGTTTGCGGACCTTTGACGATACCCGAAAAAGTACCGTTTGCGGTCTTTTCACGATGCGTTTCAGATACATTTTTAATATCTATTTCCAACTAAATTTTTTAGAATTTCGGGTTTTTTAAATGTAAATAAAACATACATTTATTTATGTTTGTCATTATTTATTATTTATCATTATTTAACTTAAAAAATAAACATTTTACTTAAGATTTGTAAAACTTAAAACTAGTAATACTAATACAAACCGTCCTGTGCATTCTGCTTTTGTGTCACTCTATCGAAATCTGCGCCCTCCAACTCAAATTTGTTCATAAAAGCGGCTGTAAAAATATAAATTATTATAAGTATTAAAAAACATACGAAAAATATACATACCTTTGACGGATGACGTTATAAGCATCCCTCGAATGCACATTTTGGACTCTGTCCCAAACCAGGCCCATTGGCGCGCCACTTCGTCAGAAATTAAGTCTCGCCAGCATAAATAAATATAAATCTAGTCAATATTAGTTGATTAGTAAGAGATTGTACACATTAATCAATTAAAATTTAACACTTACCGTTGAAAACACGTGCGTCTTGTAAAAAACTGCTCACTCACGTCCGCACAACTCGCCGGTCAAAAGGAAAAGAGACGCGACGGTATAAAAGAGTTAAAAGATGATGCAATAATATTTGCCTCTCGCTTATTTGCAGCGAAATAACCAAAAACAGGCAAGCGACAAAAGATGGAAGGAGAAGAACCGTTCACCGAGTTCTAGAAATTTCGTTGACGACAAGATTTTTAACGCGTGCAGTGCGTTTTAGTGTCCGTTAGCGGGACATTTGAGGCATTTGCACGGGTCCCAGTGTTCGCCCGTTTCAGTATCTGTTTTCGGGCCAGGTTTCGACAATTAGGCAAACCTATTGCGGTAAGTCCGCTATTTGGCCGCCCACTGTTCGTTTCAGTGTCCGTTAGCAATACGTTTTCGGCACATTCACGAGCAACGCCATATAGTTTGCTTTTCGTCCGTTTGCGCGTCCGTTTTTGAGCATTCCCCGAACCTAATGCGGAAACTCCGATTCTTTGTTCGCATTTAATATTTTTAGCGGACATTTCTCGGATCCATCCGCACCGAGACCCCTCTTTGTCTGCTGGGAGGGCTTCCTCATACGTCTCTATATATTGGTAGATCTCAGGGTCTCCGCTAACTGGTAGACCTTAGGGCCTCCACAAGTTGTTCTCACTCTAGGAGATCTGAGGGGCATTCGCGCATCGGCGTTTCACCGACACTGTCGACCCAAGCCAGAAGGAAGTACCTGATCCTGAAGTGCGGCGTTCCAGAGCGACTACCGGCGGCAGCAGACTAAACCTAATCTTTCTAAACACTTGTAATATTCGAGACAATAAACAAATAATTATAGTTACGGCATATTTTTCGGAGTTCTACTCTGGGACTGGGTCGGTATCTCTTTCAGCAACCACCTCTGACAAAAAATACAAATTTCTGAGACGAACCCTGGCCGTCCCTGAGCCACCGGAAACGACAAACCGTCACAGTTTTTTCGATTTGGTGGTGGAACTTGTTTGATAGTCCGAATATCGAGTAGAAATCGAACACATTTTTTATAATCGATATGAAAATTGAAGAAATCTGTCGTTTTCGATATTAACTCAATAACGCAGCTTGGTGTAAATAGGCTATTAGTGTCATAATAGTTATGGCTCTATGAATTTACGTCAATAGCATTTTTTACTGTGTAATTTCTCTCGAAAATGTTGACATGAGGGTTTTTAAGATTGATCTCTTGAACGCTTAAAGTGAAGGGTAAGAGTTGTACTAAATTATGTATTGGAAATGTGAGTGCTGTTTTTTAGTTATTGGAATGCAATAAGAAACACGTCCGTTCGTTGCAGAATCACATAAGAGACTCAACTTAGGTAGCCATTATTTCTCAATAACACGCTAAGAAAACAATTGGAAATCTTATGCTAGTTTATTTACATTTATTTTACATAACTTTGTGTGTTATTTGGGCTTATTGTTATTTAATAAAAATAATTGGAAAAGATTAAAATAAAAAAATAAAAATGTTCTTTTAACAATATATGTATAAAATATAACAAAAATTTATTTATTTCATCATCTACAAGTTAAACTGGAACTGTATTTTAAAGAAACGCCTACAAATTAATCTGAAACTGAATTTTATCAACAACAGGTTACAACTATTTAAAATTATTTTAATTTGTATTTTTTTTTAATTATTTTTTTTTATATATATTTGTATTTTTTATTATATAAATTTTTTTTTTTTTTTTTTTGGAAATGTTATCACACATTGCGGCGTAAAATTGAAAACATTTTGTTGAATATTCTATGTTCATTCAAGCACGACGTAAGGCAGAACGATTAACGGCTCGTTGTTGTATGATTTTAGTTGAAGAACTTGATGCCATTCCTTAAATTCTTGATAACCGGCCGCATTGGTTGATGTGTCATTATTTTCGGGTAAGGATCGATAGCCAGTACGATATTCAAGGTTTAAAAGAGGCAATTTTTTGACGGGCGGAGTTTCGGTAGAGATTCCCAAGTGATTATTGTTACAGTATTGTTTATTACTTCCATTTAAATAATCCTTTTGTGAATCAGTTTGAATTAAGTTGAATGATTTTAGCAAGCTATTGTTTACTAAATCGAGCTGGGCGTCTTCAAAAATAAAATTTTCATCGCCTCCATCTATATCTGTATCACTTGATGATAATACATCGCTATCGATTTTACCCTCTCTGGTTTCAGTCTCACTTTGCAAATTAAATCGGTTCTTATCGAAAGTGGTTATCGTAGAGCGGTTTTTAGCTTTCGATGATTCTTCTTCCCCTTCACTTTCCTCGGAATTTGAGCTGCTGTTACTATAGTTTAAAGTTCTTTCTTTCATATCCAAAGCAGGCTCACCGTACAACTCGTGCTGAAAAAATAATTTCTCACGCATCGTCATGTCCACGGCCACAGATGTCTCTTTTAAATAAAATTCATGCTTAAGATCCAAGTCAGTTTTTGTGTTTAAGGTGCGCTTGCGATAACGATGAGGACGAAAAGGAAGTCTCATCAATTGAAATTTAGTGAGTGGTACTGGAACTGTTACTTTTTGAACACCATTTTCCTCAGTGTTTGCTTTAATGTTTGTTGTAAATGTTGTTGGTGAAGTATTTGATGTAATAACTGGCGAAGTCATTGTGTTTATCAGTGAATTTGCTGGCGAGTTTACTTTACTTGGGGTTTTCTTTATTGTCAACACAATATGATCGCGACTCGTGGTTGTTGGGCGTTGGACAATGGCATATTCCTCGTTATTTTCATAATCATTCTCATTTTTGTCTTCACTATCACTGTCACTACTGCTGTTATTATCACTAGTTTTATTATTAAAGTTTTTACCATTCCAATCATTCTTTTTCTCTTTCATAATTTCTTCAGCCCCCACTTGATCCTCGACTAATTTTAATAAATTATTACTTTTAGGGATATCTGAAATGAAGTATCTTGATGATGTATCATCATATGATGATGATATTTGTAGGTTTTTTATTGGCACCGCATTTTCATTATGGCCGCTGTCCGTTCCATCAATATTAACATTTAGCGGCGGCATTTCCATGGGAACATTATAATTACCACCTGGATTGTGAGAAAAACGATTAAACGATATGTTGAGTCTTCGTTTAGCACGTCGACAGGTAGGCAAACATTTGGCCACACCCAGAAATGGCGCTATTAATGATTTGAAAGGTTTCGCCTTAAAAGGTTTTAAGAACTTTAAAGAACTTAGATCCTTTTTGATACGGTCCGAAGCTATTAAGCCATATTTAGGCACAACATCAGCTCCATTAGTGACCGTATACATGGAATCCCAGGGTTGCATCGAATTATTTTCCAAATCATTCCAATTTCCATTAATATTTGGTATGTAGTAATTATGCAAGGCATTTATATGAAAACTGGTCACTTGGTTTGTTTGTACATAAAATCGTTGCTTTGCCAGGCAGTGGGGATCTTCCTGAACGACAAGAGAGGGAATAATTGGGAGATTGGCTGCAATTGTTTCACTATTTTCCTGTTCCACTTCTTGAGTATAGTTAATATCAAGTTGAGACACATTCAGAACTTCCAATTTTTTCTTTATTTCTTCCATTTTAACAGCCGGCTTAGTTTCAAGCATTATTGAATGCAAATCGTTATCATCATCGAAGTCTAAATCAAAGATCGATCTCACAGGCTTCAGTTGATTTTCCACCATTTCATGATCATTATCCAATCGTTTTATCGATGGTCGTATATCCTGTAGATCCTGATCCTTTCTATGCACCGTCGTAGTATTATCCATATTCAAATTGAATTTTTGCTCACTTGTAGAAATATTATCGGAAACTGCAATTTCTGGCTCTCCCTTTAGAGCATTTGTATAGTCATCCTCCATAATTACACATGAACATGGTACGAGTTCGGCCAGATACATTTGCTCAATTTCGTACACGCTCAGCGGACTCTTCAAGCTATGTATCAAGTGCATAAGTTGTGTTGTGATGTCATTTAGATTCTCCTGTTTGATGTTCATGTTGCTCTTTCCAAAGGTTCCAAATGAATTGCTATTGCTATTGTCCAAGGAAGTACCTTTGATTTCCTGCGATTTATTACTGTCACGAGAAGGTTCTGAGGTAACAGTATCGCTGTCCGTAATTGCAGCATCTGCAAGTAAATTAATTATTAAATTGGGAAATTTACTATTATTTTTATTTCTGTAGCAACTTTCTCAACGCATTTTGAAGAAAAAAAATTATAAGCAAAACAAACAAACAAAAATATAGGCAGAGTAAACGCAGCGGATTTTGAAAGATCTTGGTCTTATCTTATTCGAAAACGAAAGAAAACGAAGTTTCCATCTCGAACAATTTTTGAGAAAATATCGGTCAAAGTCTCATAAACTGATTGTTTTGGGAATTTTCAAATCCTAATAAAACGATAACAGCTACAGCATAGCAAAAATATGGGGTAAAAGTAAGATCAGAAGATGAAGCTTTTTAGTATTAAAGTATAAAGTTTCAGTTAGCCCCAACATTAAGTCTAATAGCTATGTTGTTAATGTACCAAAACCGCTTTTTCTCAAAAGTTGCCACGTGACGGAAACTTTTCGTTTTCGAAAGGAAAACTGTTTTCGGGCGAGAAAGTTGATATTTGTTTTCCAAGCTTTTCAAATACAAACTGCTTATACAATATTTTCAGTCATTTAGCGTTGGAGTCGCTGAAAATATCGACTGAATGACTGAAAAGACAGTGAGACTAAAAAAATTCGTAAATTTCAAAGTTTTAGACTGCTACATGAAAGGTCCAGTAGTATAAAAAAAAAATTTAAGATTATATAGGGTAATACAAAATGTATATAATGTATCAAGTTCTTGTTGAAAATTTAGCTGCTGTCGTTATTGAGTCGTTCCCTTGACGGTTGAAAATATCGGCTAACTATCGCAATACATAGTCTACATGTTTATACCCTTGCAGGGTATTATAATTTCAGTCAGAAGTTTGCAACGTAGTGAAGGAGACGTTTCCGACCCTATAAAGTATATATATATTCTTGATCAGCATCAACAGCCGAGTTGATCGAGCCATGTCCGTCTGTCCGTCCGTCCGTTTCTACGCAAACTAGTCCCTCAGTTTTAAAGCTATCTGAATGAAACATTGCATATAGTCTTCTATATACTCTCACTGCTATATATGGCAGAACGGGCCGGATCGGACGACTATATCATATAGCTGCCATACAAATGTTCAATAAATTTTTAGAAAAAAAATTAAAACTTTGGTGTTTTTTAACATTTTTGCACCATTTTGTAGATATGACCATTTTATATTATTTCTGAATTTTGGTAAAAATTTTATGAAAATCGGACGTCTATATCATATAGCTGCCATAGGAACGATCCGGAAATTAATAGAAAAAAATTACAACTTCTTTGTTTTTCAACGTTTTTTCATCTACTCCGGGATATAAGCTTATTTTATTATTCTAGAATTTTGGTATTAATTTCATAAAAATCGGACAACTATATCATATAGCTGCCATATAAACGATCGGTAGATGTAGAGAATATGTAAAGCTGGGAATGCAAAACTGTAACTGTCAAACTGTAAACATAATAAGTATAGGTAAAATGTAATGAAATAATATCTGCAAGGGTATACAAACTTCGGCGTGCCGAAGTTAGCTTCCTTTCTTGTTAGTAGTTCAATCATTCAGTCGTCAAGGGAATACCCAGTCTAAAAAGCCAGAACTGTCGGCCATATACTAGAGCATAAAAATTTTCCAACATTTTTTAACCAAGTTTTAAAAAAATTCTCGAAAATTGGCCTTTTTTGTGCTTCAAGAGGCGGATAACCCCTTAAAAAGAGATATTTAAAACAAAATAATATTTTTTATTGTTCTTGACAATGTTCTTAAAGCTACAATCATTATTAACTAACTAGGATCATTATTTTGTTGCTTTAAGAACATCTATATATATATTATTAATTATTTTAATTGCGTGCCCAACTATTGAAGCGAATGTAAAAGTGTTACGAAAGGTGAATTCTTATTGAATTGTTTAGAACCAAAAAAGTGGGACGACTTTATATGCAGTCGTCAGTGTGACTCAGTGTTGCGTTGAGAGAAATATGGTAGATAACGAGATGAAGAGGCTAGTGTAGTTGGATTTAGAAATTGGAAGAAAACGCACTCGGTGAGACTCGCTCCGCTCGTACAATGACTGACACAACAACTTAAATCATCAAGGCAATAAGAGCCTTCCGTCATTAGAAGTGGGATCCAACCCCCGATTTGCAACTTTCAAAAAACAATTTCGTGTTTTGCTAGAGCAACAGAACTAAACATTTTTACAACTTGCGGGAGCGCTGCGACCGTCGCACAGTAGCGCCTTTTCTCATTTTACGTTGCAAAAATCATAACTTTTGAACAAAACAAGATAACTAAATAATTTAAACGCCATTTGATAGGTAATTGTTGTAAAATTAACATATGTATTGGAAAATCTGCCACGCCCACTCATTCGCCTTTTTAAAGGGTATCAAAGTGAAGAAATATTTTTTTCTCAATGAAGACAATTTTTTAAAAATATTTTTTATTTAATTTTTTATCTTTATTTTAATGTATTTGCTTAAATAAAAATAATTTGAAAACTGGAAAAAAAATTTTTTTTGTTCTATGTTTAACCGCCACAGAACCGTGAGCGCTACAGTTAGTATTTTTTGTTGGTTTGTATGAAATTGTGTCGGTATTTTGGTATATTTTACCCTGAGTTGTTTCAGTGTTTTGCTTCGCAATGCCAGAGTCGCAGCTGGACGCAGACTTTCTAAACGGATTCTGATTCAGGAAAGATACACGCAGTGTATCGCCGGCTCTGGGCAGCTTCAGAAGTTATAGACTACTTTAGCCAGAAAAAGGTGAAAATAATGGACACCTGGCAGGTAGCGATTTACCTGTACAAGCCCACACAAAACTACCTTTTTTTTAATTTGAATAAGAGGTAATGAATATACCTATCATTTAAAAAAAAATTCAAGACCATTGGATATGTAGTTTTTGTGTAATATTACCTGAAAGTCGACTAATTGACCTATTTTTTGTTGTATGACGCATACACGGAAAACAATTTCGACTTTGAATGCTCATATCTTCCTCAAAAAAAATCTGACAATTTTTTTGGTTACAGATTCGGAATCCTTGGGAAATTCTCTGTCGATTTCTTATAGTTTAAATCGATTTTGCGATTTTGACTTTTTCGATTTTTGCAACGGCTTTTGTTCGAGAGGCGCTACTGTGCGTCGTCCCTTAAAAAATGGCGACATTGTGTTGTTGAAATTTAATTCAGCCGTAGCTGGAGCTGCAGTAAACATTATCTTGAGTGAGACCTTGCTGTAAGATAGTGCATTAGTTTTGGCGTTAACGAAGTCCCAGGAAGAAAGCGCATCACAGTGATTATCGCAGGTCTGTTATTCCGGCATCACATCAGGATTAAATCTAGTATTAAATACTCAACTTAATGTAAGTTCACAAGCACAAGTAGCTGGCACATGGCCGAAGCGTAGAGGGGCATTTGTATTACGTTTCTCCTTAAATATAGCATAGAAATCTTTTTTTAAAAGGATATTTGGTGTGCATGGTGCATTCCAATATACAATCAGATACGCCGGGTGGTCCTGCTTCTCCCAAAATGCAGCGAGTGGGAGAGGTAAGGAATGCATTGATGGCTCGCCGAACAGCTCCGTGGTAAGGTGGGTGTACTTTTCGTATGTGGGATTTTGCGCACCATCCGTGGATGGAAAGGCCAGTCTATTTTTGAGAGCATTACGGCGGAGGTTATGTTTATGAGCGTATTAGTGTGTATACATGAGTACTTGGAAATTAAATATTTAATACTGTTGAATCGGGATTCAAGTTGTTTTCTTAGATTTATACAATGGTGTTTAAAATATAGCTTAGAGTTGAAGGTTATATACAGTAATTTTAATTGGTCTATACTTTTAATAACATTGTATTTATACCCTTGCAGGGTATTATAATTTCAGTCAGAAGTTTGCAGTATATATATTCTTGATCAGCATCAAGCCGAGTCGATCTAGCCATGCCCGTCTACGTAAAATGTAATGAAACTCTGTTATGTGTGTGTTTTCAGCATTTAAAATTGTAATACAAATATCAAAACCAAATTATCATATGCTATGTATAAATTTACAAATTTCATATATTCCCTTTTTTTGTTTTTTCTATATATTTAACCAGAATGGCTTAATTTTTATTGATTGTAATTCCAATTGTAAACTGCATGGGAATACAAGGGAATTTTTCACTTCGATACCCTTTAAAAAGGCGAATTTGTGGGCGTGGTACATTATGCAGTACATACATATGTACATTTTACAATAATTACACATTTCAAGTTTTCCATGATATTTGGGTGCTCCTGAGTAAAAGTCCCATACAAAATTATTTTCCATCACCTACAGGTTCGGCGGTATACCTAAGAATACAAAAAACCGATGTTTGCCGACATTTTGAATTACGTGGCCTATATAATCGGACTTACCTTTATTATTTTCGGTGGGACCTACTCTCAATACATCACGGCACTACTAAAAAATAGTCCCAATCGTGGACCATTGCCCATGTCTTTGGAATTCGACGCCAAAGTTGAAACTCCCAAAATTTTCAACATTTCTGTGATGAAAAAACAATTCTGAGAATTAAATCTTAAAGCGTTTTCATGAAGACATTTTATTGGATTTATTAAACGAATAAAACCGCCTTTTTGGTTTGATTATCTACTACTATTTTCTGTCAAAATTCAAATAAGTCAAGGCAACCTATAGAATGCGAGTAAAAAATCTAAATTTATATTATATATAAAAAGATACATATTTACTCGCATTCTATAGGTTGCCTTGACTTATTTGAATTTTGACAGAAAATAGTAGTAGATAATCAAACCAAAAAAGCGGTTTTATTCGTTTAATAAATCCAATAAAATGTCCTCATGAAAACGCTTTAAACCGAAATTAAAGAATACAATGAACAATAGATTCAATGAATATTTAAAATTAGTTCCATATAAGATTTAATTCTCAGCATTGTTTTTTCATCACAGAAATGTTGAAAATTTTGGGAGTTTCAACTTTGGCGTCGAATTCCAAAG